CCGATTCTGAGTCTATTAATTATGACTTCGTGGCGTCTCTTGGAAGTGTGTGTTGGCTAAGGGTTGATGGAAGGTTTGATTTCATTTAACTTTGTATGTGATGATGTCCAACGATGTTGCCACTGTTGCAACGTCAAGGACTGTATTGCTCCCCTGATATCTCCCAGAGAACAAATTTGCACTAAGGAAGCTTCAGGGGAGGTTATAGCTCTTTTAGCGTAGGTGTCTGCTGTTTCGTTGCCATGGATTCCGGTATGGCTAGGGATCCATAGCAGCATTACGTCTTGGTTGTTGTGATTTAGAAGAGCAATTAGATTTTGAATCATACTGGATATGGCGTTGGGTTGGTTTATGTTGCAGATGCTGTTTATAGTACTAAGAGAATCGCTTAATATGATCACTTTATCTATATTGAGTTGTTGAATTGTTTCAAGTGCGTGGTAGATCGCATATGCTTCTGCTGTGTAGATTGAGCAGAAATCGGGGAATTTGATCATTTTGGATGTGTTGTTGAAGTATACCGATGCCCCTACCCCTATTTCGGTTTTGGATCCGTCAGTGTAAAACTTGGTGTAATCCTGGTAGTCTTCGAGTAAAGAAAGTGTCAGATTTCTAAAAGTATAGTCCATGGTCTCACTTTTGATGTGTTGAGAAAGATCAGTATTGATGTGTAGTTCCATTAACCAAGGAGGAGTGGTAGCGTGCTCATGTTTGAATATTCCTGAACAATTGAACTCGAAGTTGTTGAGTTTTATTGTGTTTTCTAAGTTTGAGGTAATGTTGTTTTGTATTCTTCTAGCTTCTTGAAGTGCAAAGTTTTGCGTTCTCCTTAGGTCAAGAGGAAGTGTGTTTGCTATATTGAGAATGCTTGAAATCGGACTAGAACGGAATGCACCTRTGGCAAGTCTTAGACCCGAGTTGTRAATRGTCTCTATCATTTTGAGTGCAGATTGTTTGGCGTCGGTGTAGAGGAAAGCACCATATTCCAATTTGGACAGAATGAGAGATTTATATATTTGTTTGAGAGTAGTTCCGTTTGCTCCCCACGTAGTGTGAGCTAATAATTTGATGATGTTCAATTTTATTAAAGTTGCTTTTCTAATTTCTTTCAAGTGGGCCTGCCATGTGTTCTTGTTGTCAAAGGTAATTCCGAGAATCTTAATGGTTTTGGTGTATGGTATTGGAGTGTTGTTTAAATGTACTTCTAAATTGTTGTATTTTCTGAACCTGGTAAAGAGGGAGCAGCGAGATTTTGTGGCAGAGAACGTAAAACCGGTTTTGGAAGACCATTCTAATAATGAGTCAATTGTATCCTGTAGAGCTGGTTGGATAGAATTTGGGTTTTTTCCTCTGCAAAGGATGTTTAGATCGTCTGCGAAAAGTGTAGATTGCACTGGAAATTTAATGTTCTCACATATATCGTTTATAGCGATAAGGAATAGGGTGACTGATATAGTAGACCCTTGGGGGACACCGTTTTGTTGACTAAAGTAAGGGGATAGATAATTGTGGATTTTCACTTGGAATGATCTATCCGATAAGAAGTCCTTTATGAAATTAAACATTCTGCCATTACATAGGATGTTACGAAGTTTTTCCAGTATGCCGGGTCTCCAGGTAGTATCATAGGCTTTGGCTATATCTAGTGCAACTAGTCCTAGAACTTGTTTGTTTTTGAATGTTATCCTGGATGTCCTGCAGAGAATTGTATGTGCTTCTGTGTTTTCGAAAGCCATTTTGTTGAGGGATAAGATAATTTATTTTTTCTAGAAACCAACGCAATCTAATATCGATGATTTTTTCAAGCAGTTTGCACATGGTATTTAATAATGAGATAGGTCTGTAACTGTTTAATTTGAATTTGTCGTTGCCGGGTTTGAGAATAGGRACCACTAATGAATGTTTCCAGGTTTTGGGAAGCCTGCCACAGTTCCAGATTTTGTTATAGATGTGAAGAATGTAGATSAGTGCTGAAAGAGGCAAATTGTGTAAGAATATGTAAGGGATGTCGTCGGGACCCGGGGAGAGACTGGAACATTTTCCCAGTGCCCAATTCAGTTCCTTAAGAGAGAACGGAAGGTTTAGGTGTGCCTGGTCTTGTGAAGCAGGATCAATTTCGGAAATATACTGACTGTTTCTGTTTTGGATGTTGTTAGTCAGAAAGGTCTTGTCGTAATTGTCATCAGAGCAGTTTGTTTGGAAAGAAATTCCGAGGTGATTTGCCACATCAATAGGATTCGTGTGTATCGTGTTGTCGAAGATTAAGTGGGTGTGTTTTTCTCTTCTTTGTATATAATATTATAATGTATTCATCACTCAGCTGTAAATCAGCACAAGTATGATGGCTATCGGCATGACGCAATGAGATCTTTACAGTTTACATAGGTACCCATTTCTGTATAATAATAATAATAATAATGGCATTATTATAGCTGGAACATGTAGCTTAATATACGTACTTGTCATCCCGATAATAATTACACCTCGTTTGCGATCGTTAAAGAATTAATGATAATGTTATAACTAGAACACGTAGCCGAATATACGTACTTATCATTCCGATGAACACGTTTCGTTGTGATGTGATTATTGGTACATATATTATATATATAATAATAATAATAATAATGTATTTGGGAAAATAATGATTATGATCTCGTATAGGGTTAGAGCGCAATTGGTTTTCAAATATTTTTACGGAAATCAGCAATATCAGTATTTGACAAAAACGATTTTATTTTAATTCAAAAATGAATAACAAAGTATACTTCAAATTTTGACAAAAAATCTATCAAATTGTATATTAATTAATCATGGTTAAATTTTTCCCGGTTATAGCTTAAAAAGACAAGATAGGTATTACTATACAATATTTATTATATAATAATAATATAATTATTTAATAATTATTATATAACTGTTAAAATGAAATGTCAATTTGACGAAAMAATTAGTAATGAGGTAATTATATAGGTACAATAACAGGCAAGAAAGATAACTGTACTTTACGTTATATTTTATAAATTGATTGCCGAATTTGTAGACGTCGAAGACCACATAGAGATTTATGTGTATTTGAGTTTTCTTCGTATTTAATGAGTTAACTATTTCCGGAAAAACTAGAGAATCAATATAATTGTATGCAATTTTGTAAGAAATTGTTTAGTAGACCGCTGATTTTCATCATTGAAAAGAGTAATGCCACATTATCAAAATCGAGTGATAGATCTACCTAAATTAAACGAGACTTTATTGATATAAATATAGACTATAGAATCTGAGATGTTTCTTAGTATATACCTAAAGTCGACAGTTTACATGAGTAATTACTAATTATTAAGATTGATGATTTTGCATCAAAAAATTCTTCACTAAATTGTTATTTCTTATACATTTAACTATAGTATTAATATATATATAATTGCTATAATTATTTATATAAATACTTAAGTTGATTCAAAATTGTGTTTATAAATTCTTAAATAATATGTTCTTCGCGTGTAATTTCTTATCGTTTATTTTAATTAATTTAATTTGTTAGAACTCCTGCAAATTTATTTGAGTAATGAGAAGTTACATTTTTTCTGAAGGGTGGCATATTTAAAAGGGTCAAGGACAGAAATGCAATCCTGCGTTCGTTACTTTATGTATGTATATTGTATATAATTTAATGTACGTTACATTAGCTAGTGCTCAGATATCCGGGCCTCACAAACAGCGACGTCGCAGTCTTAGGTGCCCAGCAGCCTATACAAGCCACTCTATCGACGAAGTTCGGTTCCTGAAAGCTTACCGCGATAACTCTTGCCACTCTTGGAGACCATCACGTCGACATACAAGTTTTGTGACGGTTCAAGCACCCGGCATTAGCTGTTGATTATTATATGAACTCTAAACCGGACAAGGTTGCAAAAAAAAAAAACAGTTTGAAAAAAAAGTTTTAAACTATGTTTTTTTTGTTTAAAACGCTTTTTTTAAATTTTTTTATTAATGTGTTTAAAACATTAAAAYGTTCTAAACAACGCTTTTTTAACATTGCTTTAAACGCATTTTTTGTGAAAAATGTTTTTTTTTTGTTTACATTGAACATACATTTCATCTAAACTATAAACAACTTTTTTTAACAATCTTTTTTTTACTGCAAGGCAGTAACAATAAATTTCAAAAATCTTTGTTGGATTTAACTGTAAATAATTGTTGTACCTACAGAAGTACAGACGTACAGTATACTAACACTAAAAAAAATAACAAAGTTTAAAACATGACCAAAAACTGTATGTATTTTAAATTTACATTTTGTATAAACGATAGTAATTAACCATATACTCTATAGTCATTAGTAGAATTAGGATGTAGATGACCTAAAAAACAAAAATGCAAAAATTCCCTAAAAACAGTGCAAAAATTACCTAAAAACTTGTTTATCGGATTTTTTCCATACTATTTATAAATATAATACTCGATAGCGTTACGTTTGATAAGAGTGTATGATCGGAGTATGTTTGAAAGAGCACTTTTTATCAATATTATATTGACAACATATAACACCCAAAGTCTCAAACAATATATCCAAATCCAAAGTTAGATTTTAAAATTTTAAATAAATAAAATTTGTTTCCAAACTTGGGTTTAACACTGGTTTTAATTTAAAATTTGAGAAAAATGCTCTCATTGTATAAAAACTACAAAATAAATTACCTAAGAGATGAAAAAATTACTTATAAATGTTGAAAAATGACGTTAGAAATTAAAAAAATGCATTTATAGATAAAATTGAAAAAAAATGCTAAATAAAAATTAGAATATTCTGCATCAAGGGAGCACGAAACAGATTTTTAGCTAGGATAGCATTGTATAGAATCAAAGGAAAAAAATTCAAGTCATCAACTTCCTAACTCTATTCATTAGTCAATACTCATAAGTTTAAAATTTAAATAAAAAATTGTTTTAACACTTTTAAATAACATTCAATATCAACAATAAGTAAAAATAAAAATAAAGAATTATAGTTACCAGTTACCTACATGGCTACATTTACATGGAAATTAACTAAGTTACTTTACTATGTGTAAACAGTAAACACTAAACATTGTATACTAACTATGTAAGGTATTAAGGTCTATTGTTATTACTTATAAGTTATTTCCCATACTTAAACAAAAAGCAATAATAAAGAAACATTTAATATTCTTATCAATTCTGCATAGTTCATACGAATAATCTCTACCGAAATACAAGTTATAAGTTACATAAAATAAAATTTTTTGTCATTTTTGTTTAAAACACTTTGCAACCCTGAAACCACATGAGTTGTTTCACAACAGGCATCGTGTTTCACCATCATCACTACCACATAAAATCGATAAAATCGAAGATGACGACAACGTAAACGATTTCATCAGGAATGGGATCAATAAGATCGAATAATAACCTGTACACCTGCCGTCCAAATAAACTATGTTTCTATATTTGTCTCGACGATGTGTTGACATCTTATTCTTAACATCGATTCTCAATATTATCATCTGTTAATTTAATTTTATATTAGGTATCCAAAGATAACAAAGTCAGATCAGGCTGAGATACACATTTATATATTTGCAATGCATTTTAGGTGCTTTATGGTTGCTCAGATTTTACGATAATTTCACGATACATGACTTTAACATAGTGGCATAACACAATAATTGCTATATAAATAGGGTGGCTAAATACGTATTAACGTGTCAATAAAAAGTGACCAGGCCAATGTGCTGATCTTAACCACATTAACATAAAACATCTTAAAAGTAACTATATAAATAATTGTATAGATAGCTATCATGTTATTGAATATAAAAAAACATATTCAAGAAAATATAATAAAGTGTTGTTTACTTAATTTTATGAAAAATTACAATACGTAATTTAAAAAGTGATGATGGAATGATTTCTAATGATTAAATTGTAATAATAATAGGGTTGCATAATAATTATTATAAATTAAAATATCCATGTCTCCTTATTATGTAAAATAATGACACTAAAGACGATACTGAAAATGTGTTTGATTAATACATCTCTGCGTCATTGAATCAGCTATTTTTTAACTATAATAGGCGTGTTTGTTTTATAACGGTGTACAATTATTTCTAATACCAAAATTGTGAAAGAACTGATAAAACCGATGATCAGTAAAGTTAAGAGTGATGCTATGTCTTTAATTTCAACGCTAACTAGAGATTCTTCGGTTGTAGTTTTCCCAGCAGTGCATTTCGGTTTTTCGGCATGCCATATACGGAGTTCTCTATCCATAAGACCAGTTTCCCGTAAAATACAATTTCTGAAAAATGATATATATACATTGATATTTGTTAATTATTTTATCATCTCCTGTCAAAACATTTTTTGCAAATATTACGCGTAATTGATCAATTTTTTATACGGAGATTTTTTCTGAACCAAGTAGCCAGTAGTTTCCGATCTGAGGAGTGGCAATTCCGTTAAATCACATTTTTCCTTCTCAGTGAAAATATCGTTTATTAGCCAATAACTGGTTGCTGGATCGGTGAAAAATGCATAGTTTCCTTTTTTAATTTTTTTCACTCCATCTTTAGCCAACAGATACTCTGATTTTGATTTAATTTTGCTGTCGATAATTTTTTTCAAGTAAGGATTGACTTCCCCATTCACCTTTATGCACATACGTTTACAGTTTCAAACATTTTAATATGATATAGGTCCTCAATATAAATAATACTTAATTTAAATATCAATCAGTTAATGTATCTATAATATAATTGAACATACTTCAATAGCTTTGATAATAATATTGAAATCTTCAACGCCAACGTCTAATCCACTTTCTTCAAGTTTTTGAATCGAATCGATTTTCATTACGGTCGGGCGCAATAATCCAGAGACAATGCTGGATGAATAAAACTGATACATTACCAAGCTGAACACGAACATTAAAATGACAATTAGTCTATTGCTGAGTTTTTTAGGTTCCATGACTGTGCCTAAAAACAAAATATATTAAACAAAACTCTTAAAAAATACATTTCAATAACAAATTAGGTGGGAAGGTGAGTGCCACGATGCATAGTGAGTTGATTTCCGAGACCTCCTTTATGTATTAGTTGATTCCTGGGTCATCATTAAGAGGTATGTTCGAGTTAATTCTCTATTGTTGTACATCAATAAATTGCACGACGGTAATGAGTTCGAACGTCACTTTTGTGAGAGAAGTGTTGTCATAGTATACTGGTAATTCAAATTCAAATGACCAATTTTTAAAAATAATCTGCTATACATTTTTACCAAATTACTAATTTGTTTTAATAATAATTTTTTATAAAAAAAATAAAAAGAACAATCATTTTGAAAACTTGTCAGCCAACCTCCTAGTGGTGTTTCTTGACTTGCGCTAATAGGCTGGATATTTGACTAAATATTGAAAAAAAATATTTAATGACCCGGGAATCAACTCAACGATATCGGTGTAGGTTAACAGGTGCCCAGGAATCAACTCGTACGCAGCCCCACGATGCATCGCGATGTAGAGTTGTAAGATGTTGCGTGTCACTGCAATGGTGTGTTTTTTTATAGATGGAACAACTTATGAGGAATCTTGTATTACATTTTTAAATATAGGATATAAAAAGAAATATTTTTATGACGAAATTATTTTTTAAATTTTTATGAATTTGAGGAATTTTTTCAAAATTCTAATTTTAAAGTTTAAACGCTCATATACATGTAATTGTGATTATTTTTTTTCGGTAAATAAACAATTGAGAAGTATGAGACTTTGCACCAATTGAGCATTTTTTATTGAAATTTAAAGAATTGAAAATACTAATCAAGCCGTAAATGCCAAAGGTAGGTAAGTATATGAATATTTTAAAAAGCGTCAGATTTGTTTTAAACATTTTTCTTGTAAAAATAATGCTAATATAAACAATTTTTCAATATTTTAAGTAATTACTAGGACAATTAGGTATCTGTATTAAATTTTATATCAACATTGTTATGGCGTGCTCGTCGTTAATGTCGTTAGTATGAATATTCAAAATTCAGATGAGGGGGGTCTGTAGAAACGTTTCTACAGCTCCCTCACCATGTTTTCAATTTTAAGCTTTACCTGGTATCAAGCAAATTTCAAAACCATTTTCGAAATTTGAGATGGGTGGGGGGCTGGAGAAACGTACGTGTTAGTATTGTGTTTAGTTTATACGCAAATGCGTGATTATATTTTTTTCTTAACTGTTCACATAATGTAAAAAATAAATGAAAATTTATTTAAACATAATACTATCCAACTATTTTACCAATGGTGATATATTTTACTGTAAGTCTTGTGAACTCAAGGTAAGCGCTGAAAAAAATTCACAGTAATTCAACATATTAGATCAAATAAATACGAACGATTACTAGTTCGTCAAAATATACCTACAGAAAATAAACAACAATTTATATCACAGTTCTCAAACAAAAAATCTATTCTTTAGCATGATTATTATGCAAGGATATAATGTGTGCAAACATTCTTTCACATAAAATTTCTAACGTTCAATTCCGAATTTCGATTGTTTATTTGAAGATATACTCTTATTGACATTCCTAGTGTAACTTCGTTGAGAAAATTATATAAAAATGATTGCTATTTAGAAGCTATGGATCAAATTAGAAAAGACGTAATTGGAAATAAAATATTATTTTCTATAGATGAAACTACAGATGTAGGTACAAGGAAATGTAAAAATTGAAACTTTGCTTTCAAGGATAGACCCTGGCAAAATATATTTAATATATTTATTAAACACTGACATTCTAGAAAAAGTCTGTTTATATTTATATGCAGCGCTGTACATATAGTTACGGTTATTCGTTTCTGGGTTACACCAAGAATAAATAAATAAATAAATGTTATCAAAAACCAGTTTGTAAAAAGTAACTTTTAGATCATGTATTATAATGGATGGAGCTACAGAGTATTATTTTGAAGCCACGATATTGGCGATGAGTCTCTGAATTAGGTGTTCGATATGATCATGCGCGATTTATTTTGTCGTATAATAATTATCCATAGGCCGTATCCAAGTTCAAAATATAACAATATAACATGTGGATAAATAAGCGACGAATTACATCGCGCATGCGCATATCGAACACCTAATTCAGTGACTCGTCTCTAATATCGGCTTCATTCTATTGTAGGCTATACCGTATAATATACTGTAGCTCCATCCATAGTATATGATCTAAGAAAAGTAACAGCTAAATTCAATTCGTTATCAGAAACTACCCCTAAATTTGAAAATCGAAGCATTATTTCTACTACAAATCGTAAATCCATGAAAACACATCGCATTGCAAAATTAATACATTCATCGCTTCGCCAGTAGGCAGTTAATTATCATAAAGTAATAGTATATAATTATAAATAGTAGAATTGAATAGAATGAATAAAACACCTGTGTTATGATACTATGAAATTTGAATATTACCTTGTTGACATAACGTGCCAATTTTTAGTAGGACAATATCACTTAACACTCTCAACGAGAACATTTGATTCGATTCATAATGCATAATTGTACAATAAACAAATCCAGACAATATCATTACACATATTATTGAGAACCAAACGGCCGATTCAAATGGACGCAGGAATATGTTTGTTGACGCCGTAGATGATCGAGGATGCCGAAAAATGAAACAAGGTCTAAGAAAAAACTAAAAAGTTATTTTTAACAACGTAAAAACGTAAAATTCAACAACATTGTATTCACCTTAAAATTTATAAATACAGAACGTGTTGAAAGTTAAATTACTAACACTATAACACTAAATATATTTAGTTACATTACATACAAATGTTTCCAAGTAGAAATAGCAGAGTAATCTACGACATCATATCTTTCAGACCTCAGGGCATTTAGACTTATAGAAAAATCGACCTCTCCAGACATCAACATTCCAACTATTCCGTCCCATTTGTTATTAGTTATGTAACCCCATGAATTTGTCGTTTGAATATTTAATCTAGTATGATACATCTTATATTTTATTATATGTATACATAGGTAATTATTTATAGAAAACAATTTTTGAACGCAATATTGTAAGTTCTAGTACATATAATACATAATAATATCTCTAGCAATACTTTACGTGATGTTTAGTAAAATTCTTGTCAACGGATACATTATAGCATAGCTAAATTTTTGCACAGAGTTCAAGCGATCCAAATTAAAAGTTTTTAAATATTTAACCAGTTCTTCACTAGATGGTTGAATATCTGTGTCATTTTTCTTAGCTAAAGCACCGTAAGGGTTGCCCTAAAATATTATCATAGCCATATTATTTGACAAGTTTATTTCCTTTCAACCCATTATGAATAAAAAGTGTATATTAAGTAAAATGCACCTGCACATTCAGGTATACATTTGATTTAAATTAAAATAATGACATATTAAAATAAGTGAGTTATTCATTTTCACTGTATGTGTTTATTATTTGGGTTCATATTATTTATACCTTTGTAAGTGTAATTTTATTTTATTTACTAATAGTATCTATCCTCCTATCTTAACTTCCTATCTTATCTTGATGGCCTAGACCGAGAATGTTTTGCCTATATTTAAAGATCTTGGATTTAACCACTTATCTAATTTCTATTTTAGTCATCACGTCGGTGGGGTAAATAGAGCACTTAAAATTTTTGGATTTGTCATAGGTAATACTAAACTATTTAAGTTTGTTAGATGCTTCTGTACCTTATATCATGCTATTGTTCGTTTTTACTTGAATACGAATCCTTAGTCCGGGAACATTATTTAGTCATAGATCAGATATTTCTTGAACGTATCCAAAAATTAAAATGAATATTCATCATGTACCTCGCGATTATTCCAATAGTATACAGATCCTAAATATTTTAAAACATAGTTTTCATTGCGAAAAAGTAGATTTATATTTCTTAAACTCAGTACTAAATGGTTCGCTCAACATACCTAACTCTTTGCAGACAATTGTAGAACCCCTTCTCATTATTTTAGAAGACAATCTCAATTCTATGAAACGTATAACACTTTGAGTTATGGGCTAAAAATCATACTCAATATCATAGAAAGTACTCAAAGCTGTAAAAATAATTTATTTTTATAGGCTACACTATAACACCACCACCTTTATATTATTATTGTTCAATTGTTATTTGTACTTAAGATATTATTTTTTTTTTTAGTAATTTATTTTCTCGTTTTCATAACCCAATTCCACTGGTATGTTTTATAGTGAAATTATGATTTAAAAAAATATTATTATTAATTTAATGTAATTAGCAGTATTGATATTAACAAATAAATAAAATATATATTATAATAATATACAATAATACATAAAAATATTTATAATGATCAATAATAATAGATTTATTTATATACAGATTTAACACATACCTATATTATATTTAGGTAGGTTCTTACACCTTTTTACATTTATTTAGTAATATTTTTAATAATTAAAAATGATCACTATAGAGTTGGCCAAAATAATATATATATATATAATTATTTTGAATGGTGATTTTAGGTAGTTTTAAAAAAAATAAAATAAAATAAAATTACTTGAATACAATTTAAAATTGAGTTTTATAATGATTAGATGCATTTTTGACGAATTTCATCATAGAAATATTTTTTTCTTGTATGATAAAATTATTGCGTTTAAATATTTTTGATCTAGAATTTTGGAGTTTATAAGATTAATTTTTTTCAGGCGAAAAAAAAACGCACGGGTGGAATTCATATTTTTTTTTCAGGTAAAAAAACGTGCCGGTGGTATTTACAAAAAAAAAATGTTGAAAAGGTTACAATCGGTGGAGTTTACATGCACCTGATTCAATGTGTAAGATTATTATATTACATAATTTCATTGAATAAAGAATAATTGTTTTTTAAATTTAAAACTATACTTACTACAGTAACAACATTTAATGTTAAATTTCCTAAATTTGATCTTTTATCAAATTTCCATAATCGAGTTCCCCATTTTCCGAAAGTTGTATTGACAGCATCTATTATTAATTTTCCTCTTGGTTCGTAAGCGGTACGATAAATGTCAAAAATATGCCAATTAGTGTCATACATTTCATTATGATATGCTAATAAAATTTCACTGCTGACTGTAAGATTAATTTTTTTTGAAGAAACGAAACTTTGAATATTATTATTTGATTTTTTGCTCATCATCATAAGCCAATGATAACTAGCGTTCCATAACCAACTTTCTGAAAACTTTACATAAATAATCAAAATTTCATAGTAAAAAATGAACAATTTTTATACGGTGACTTAATTTTGTATAATTTTATACTCATATTTAGCATGTTTATATTTTTTWAAATATTCAAAATATAATTAAAAGAATGATTGTATGATATTAAACAATAATTAATTATGTCAATTCAAAACATATTAAAATATAGTTTTATGCAAGTCCATACGGTTGAAAATATGCAATAAAATCTTAAATCTTGATCATTATCAAAATATAACAAAGGTAATTAAAATTAATAAATAAATGCTTAACTTTAAGTAATTTTTGTGTCTTACAAATGTGTTATAAAATACATTTTTGAGAAACAATTAATTTGTTACATTTGAAAAATACCTACCAGCTACCACCCAATTTTTGTTTTAGGTATAAAATATAAATTTATTTTTCAAGTCTGCAGGGCATTAACAAGATAAAAGTTTAAGTTAAATTACTTTTAACTGAATAAATAAATTATTGATTTTTAAGTAATTTGAAGTAATTTGAATTAAATTTGTTTCATGATTTACCGAAATCAATAATTATATAATATTTTATTTTCTATACATGATAAGCTGTTTTTTCCCCAATATGGTCACCATAGATTTCAAATTTATTTAGTTATGTTCTTATCATTGTTATAAAATTGGGGGAGAAATGTAGGTAACCATTATACCATACAGTAAGAATCGAGTATACTTCGTTGTTGAGTAGATGTAGGCCACCGAATAATAATGAATAAATGTGTTAAATTTGAATTAAATTATAAATCTTTGCTTATGAAAGAGGATTCATAGGGTATTACGCCAATACCACAAATCCAAAAAAGCGTATGTCAAAATAGCGAATGTCCAAAACAGCTATAGTATATTATTAAAATGATCATTATTACACGTTTTTATTAATATGTCAGAGTTTTAATTTTAATTAAATTAAATTTTAATCCATTGAACATTAGTATAATGTTATTCATGTAGAAACAATTTTCAATTTATTGAAATAATGTTTAAATGTTGAGATTTACTTTTCTTTCCATTATAAATTTGAATGAATATACCTTTTCATTAAACAAAAATAATACAGTTCATAAAAATGAAAATAATATACATTACGTTACCTTGAACAGTGGATCATCATTACAAGACCAATCGATAATTACTCCCAGTGAAGGAGAATACTGTGTTATTGTAAACAAATCATTCAAACTAAAATCCCTATAAAAATCGTCTTTATTGCGGTGTGTGACCGCTATTTTTTTTTCATTGAATTTTTTCATATATCTGACTCGATCTAATATATGATACAAATTCAACTGTGACAATTTTAACAATATATATTAATTAAATAATATTTATGCATTACCTGACAATGACCAGCACATGTACAAAATTGCAGTGTCTATATTTCTAACCGTTAAAAATTGTTCAATCAATTTATGTTGTGCATCATAATTTTTATCAGATAGACTCACAGATATTACGGATGTTGCCAAAAACGGTAATACAATATTAATGTAACCCATGGTTCAACACAATTTGCCAAGCATCTGCTCTGAAAAATGTTGGTGAAATATATTATTTTTTTATATACGGTATACACTATACACATTTTATAATATGTATTATACACTATATAACATGACTATGTACTATAATTTGAGTGATATTATACAGTTATTTTTGACAGGATTGCCATAAAAAATACATCAAAGAGATTTTTTTAATGACCATTTCAATGATGTTTTTTTCATATATTTTGTGCTAGATTTCAAATAAAATAATCAGACGTGCAATATCGAATTGAATTAAGTGGGCGATTTTCGCATCAAAACATTATTTAAGTAATTAATTAATGAATGTTGTAAATATTGCATATAGRTACAAATATACAAATACCTATACATTTTTATAATATATTATGAGTATTTTTTTGTATAAACTCATCATAATTTATGATTTAATATCTATGTACAATTTGATACAATGATTTAAAAATACACTGTAGATGCTACTATAAGTAAAGAGATAATAATATTGAACCTATGTACAACATATTATATTATTTTATATTTATAGTTGATTAAATATCAAATAATTCAAATATAAATATATAAAACTATTCATAATGTAAATGTATATCAATCAATTTGAATTCAAAAGATCAATTTTGATAGTTTAAGATTTTTTCGAAGACTTAACAGCATAGGTGCAAATTTCAGGAGGTTAAGGCAGCTTAGTGTCCACAAAGTCATAATTATCCCCCCACCCCCCATTTATAAGTGTCCCACAAACTATTAAAAACTAAATGCAACAATACTCAGGCTTAAGTCCCCCCACAAAATTGAACCAATTTGCACCTATGCTTAACTGAAATTAAATTGAAGATTTAAAAATAATTTATTTTCTCAATATTCCGATATTAGGACATGCATAGATTCTAAAACAAAAGTAGATCAGTAATTATCTATAATATATGTAATTTTTTTCAGGATATGAAACTAAACATTTATTACTTATTTTTTACTAACCTAAAGTTTTAGTGACGTAAGATAAATTTAAAATGTAAATTGTAAACTTTCTCGTAGTTTACGATTTTAATGAACTTTTTGTTATATTGCAATTTACAAGTACCAACATCGACAAACTAAATTCGTATCATAATTGCAATCTTGTTATGTTAATTTACAATATTTTCCTTAAAATAATTTGCGTAATAAAGACTATTAGTTTTATATGATAGAATAATGAAGACAAATCATACACCAAAATATTAGTAAACAAACAAAAATTTTGAACAGAAATAAAATAATCAATAATAATTAACGATATAATAGTAGAAAACTCAAATACTAAATATTTTACTATTTTTCTTTCTTTTTAATATTTTATTATGGTATAGGTCCCTGGTTGAATATTATTTGCATAAATCACAATCTAATAGAGTAAATATTGATTATTCATCTCACGTTTAAGTTTCATCATAAAAAATATAGACAATAAGTGATTACCGCTCTAGTGTACAGTATGTTTAGAATGAGACTGCAATATGGATGTATTACATTTGAACTCAATAATATAAAACCATTGTATACAAAATACAATTCTGAGTAATAAAACTCCGTCAGTCTACATTACTTAATATGTTTTATGATATTATCACTACTAAAGTTTTTTATTTTATTATTAGCCATTAGTTATACAGTACCTAGGTTGCATTTTTTTGTTCAAAAGTTTTTTTTAAGAACTTTTAGTCTTTGGTAGCCTTGTTGAAGTTAGGAGGTGATATGTGGATTCAATGTTAGTTTTCTGTCCAAAATTATACCAAGGTATTTGATATTAGGTGACCAAGGAACACTTTTACCGTACAATTTGAAATTACCAGGAGTTTTGAAACGATAGTTGCTAAATTGTACCACTGTAATTTTTGTGGGTTTAATATTATTTTCCAACTTATTATCAAGTAAGCACCATGAATTAAAATATACTTACTTAATTAAATCTTAGTTTGTGGTAAACACTAATAATCATAATAATTTTATATATGTCCTAAAAAGATTTTGTTTTAATCAAGAAAGAAAAGAAGTATTATAAAACTATATCGATTACCACATATTTAACTACTGTTTCATTTTGTACGTTTTATTATTTATTTAAACAATACAATATTATACACAAAATGTATGACTTATTACTATAAAAACAATTCAAATTCATTAAAAAATACATTTAATTAAAAATTCCTAATTAAAGTAAATATATTATATTATTCAAATGTACTGGGCTTTTAAATGATGAAATACACATTCATTTTGCACTCTTGTTAAAAAAAAATATATATATATATAGGTATTTATACATCTTAAGTTCAGTACAATTTTAGTAAAATTTAAATTGCTTAAAACTTGACAAGAAAATTTAATAATCCCGGCTTTTCTTTTGCCCTTCGCAGCTAACTATAAAGGAACCTTCCACTCATAACCTCTCTTTACCACCCTTTATCACTCTTAATCAAGTAAATTAATTCAACTAACAATACCATAATTATTCATATTATTTTATATCAAATTTATCCGCTCTAGATCTAGCTGACACAACCCGTCGATTAAAAATGAAATAGCGTAGAAACATCTGTTAACATAATTATTATTTATACTCAATTTCATTAAAAATAAATCAATACTACTTCAATTATGATATTATCTATATTAATTGTAATGTACCTTTACTACTTCTATACAACACGAGCCTCTTGTAATTTTTATCTTCTTCGATAAAATTGTATTATTGTATTAGGCACTTGGTATTGGATATAAATTAATATAATTTAATAAAAATAATAATAAAAAAAAAATACAGCAATTAATTATTATTTTTTATTATTAGAACAACTAAGAACATATTATATACAATTTATATGTAATAAAAATGTATAAGATAGCCTATTAAATAGGCAATATTGGATGAGAGTACAAATATACAGGACTAGAGGGTATAATGGAACAGGGGTCCAAAGATTTTATACTTCATAATTATTATGTTGTAATTGTACATTTTACAAGAGAGTTCGCCCTTTGTCACTTTGTAATGAAATGACAACGCAGTATTTTCTTTGGCCGTTATTCAGTACTTTTATTTTATAAATAATATTTATTTATTAAATTTACAAACTTTTCTTTTGTATGATTTTGTCATATAAAATATATGATTTTGTCATATATTTTGATGCGGCAACTGGCATGTTGAAATATGATTGCCTTGCAGTGTACTTTTTTTGTTCCAGTTGAGTGTATGCCGACAAGTCTATAGTTGATACGCACTCAATAAAATTATTCATGCATGTAACGCCTAATATATTCATGGATATGTTCTCGGAAAAATTTGAATGTAACTATTTCTCGTTAAATTTGATACTCTTACAAAAATAATTGATTCGTTGAATATCAAATAAATATTGGTGAAGAAAATGGTTTTGTAAAAGTGGTAGAAAGTTTGTTTTGATCGGAGTCTAGATCCATGTCTTCTGGATCGTTGACTACATTTTTGGAATCTTCGGTTTGATTTAAAAGCGGTAAAAAACGATTGTTTGAAATATATTTTMTTTGTTTTTGATGATGAAAAAAAAGTTTAGAACCTGTAGGAGTGAAAAGTCCGTTATTTTCAGCGGATTGTGTTGGCGAAGAAAGGGAGTAATTTGACACACTCTGTATTATACGAGATTTTGGAATTATTATTTGTGACATGGTTTTAGAATTATTTGTCAGCATATTGTCATTGAGATTTGTTATCCTCAGATAACGTTATTATACCGACTGGCCGTCGGATTGCCGCGACCGTGGGTGGTACATACTGAATGACAATTAGTTTGATTAGATAACTAATCTAAGTTTCTACTTCTAAATGGAAGAAAGCGAAGCTCCTTTCAGTGTTCAAGATGAATTGTTTGGCTGAGTGGAAATTTGGTACTTTTTGGAAATGGTTTGTTTTTGTTTGAAAAAAAAATATAAAATACGAAACTTAGTCAAAAAATAATAAACAGCAATGGCACACACTATTTTATTATCTACAGTCGAAACCGAACTGTTAATAGTTGTAATCCCTAATTTTTTTTATAGTTGAGATATTAAACTAAAAAAAAAAGTGAAAAAATCTATTATGAACAACTGAAGCCGATAACTTTATAGTTTCTTTTATAGTTTGTTACATACAGAATTAATCCAAGTCACTGAACTGAAATAAACTGCATAGGAAATTTGTTTAAAATTTCCATCAGCATAAAAGTTGAATATTTGTTAACAATAGCTATTATTGTTAACTTTTTATTGCATTCATGATATAAAAAAATTATGATATTGCTTCACCTATCAGAAAAACGTTTAATTTTTGTATCTAAATACTACGAAAGTCAAGACTTACATGGAGAAATAGAGACATATATAAAATGTTAACATGAATTTATACAATTTATGTAAAAGCATAATTATATTTTTATTAAATATTATGAACCTATGTAGGTAAATGAAATCATATAATATTATGTAGAGTTTATACTTAAAACTAAAAGAACAATGTAAAAGAATAGATATTTTATAGAATACAAAAAAAGATTTATTGAAATAAATAGTACTTATGGCGAAGTTTCTACCAATTTGTTATTTTTAAATAATATACCTACCTACATATTGGCTAATACCTATTACTGTTACTATATTGTTAAAAAGTACTATTCGGTAGCTCTGAGTCCTATTTTCGGATCCGCTTTTACGAAAAATATAACCGAGTAAAAAACTTATCTTAATTTATTATTACGACTATACAAATTGTGAATTTAGTGCCATTGTATGGTCAAAAAGTATTGCCCTAAGTACTTTTTTTAAAAGTTCGTGGTGGTAAAATTAATAACTAATATAAAACTTTTATTTTACAAAAGGGTTTTTACTTTTAAGAAGATTAAATAATGTATATTAATGTCTTCATGTCATCCGCTCGTTATGACCGAAGATATACAATGTGTATTTATTTTTAACATTCAATAATGTTTCAATTGTTAAATCATAAATATTAGCAATTGTGTAGAAATATCAGCTCAAAATGTCATAAGAAGTGGAAGATGGTGGATGGTGGATAGAATATACTTTTATAGAAATTCGGTGAAAATTTCATTTATCTATAGTCATTTGTTTTAAAGTTACATCAAAAACCAAAATCGATTTTGTCGAAAACTGATTGTGCGTAAAATTTCCCGTTTTTTCCTTAATTTTTAATTTGTTTATCCCGATTATTTAGAAAAATATTGAGAATTTTTATTTTTGACCCCCCAAAGTATCAACTAAATTCACATTCTGATCGAACGAAGTACTGAAGTCGAAAATCGAARCACTTTTACTGCCCCAAAACGTGATGACAGACACAAAAAAAATAAAAAAAAACACACATCATGGTAAAATCATACATTCGGACATTCCTCGCTCCGTTCAGAATCTAAAATCAATAATAATAATATTATCCTGTTCATTATAGTTAAATCCATTTAACTTTTATTAATAATTACATACCAGAAATAATGATTCATAATCTTTCATTCAATGTTAAGAGAACGTAGCACTGAATTTAGACCGGTATCACGGAAAAAAGTTACACAGATGTTGTGTAGTTAGTAATTACTATTTTTTTTGGTGTGGGATTAGAATATTATTTTTTTATTGTTCTATAATATTTTGTTTACATTTTATGTTAACTCCAAAAAACTTATAACATGTATATGTATACAATTATCTTGCTCTGATGTCCATCGCTGATTACCAATACTTCAAATATTACATACACCTATGACTTAAATCATTATATTGAATTTCATCGAATCCATTTTATTTTTAAAACGTAGTATGAAGTATAAGTATGTATATATAGATATTTATTACTATATGGTAGTATCATGTTACAAGTATATTGCACAATATGCGTAAAATCATTTATTTATATTATTGCCAAAAAATAAATAAATACAAATAAAATTGTAATTCTCAATAATTTAGTTCGCTTCAGCCCACACGTAAATACAATAATATACTCACAATAGTTCAGTAACACAATATTATACATAATAATATACACCCTGTCATCTACGATCTACATAAGTTACAGATGTATTCAATACAATATTTACCAACATATTTTATACCCTTGACAAATATACAAATAACAAAACAAAATCATCGAAACCAAATGATTCTCATGATACCCGTACACTGAATAATATTAAGGTAATTAATATTATTAAAAATTAAATGATTTTTCTCTAGCTGGGTTCGAAAAATATAAAAATTATATTTTAATAAGTATACCTCCTTCCTTACTAAATATAATTTTTTTGCGAACCATCCGTATTTATAGTATTCGTTAAATGTTAAATATTTGATGTTCTTCGTCATATGGCGGTGCGATATTATTGTTTATTATTAATTTTGTGGAGCGTCGCGCTTATGATGTGGGCACGCCCTTACCGTTTTTATGTGATCTTGTACCGTAAATAATTTTAACACTGTGATTTTCCTTACTTATTGAAACACCGCAGCTGTCTTCGACGCTAGCTGGAAATACGAAAATAAGATTATTGAATCTTATGAACAGTGTCCTAATGTGTACAATTTAGTGTATAATATAATATGAAGGACGAAAAAATTAAAAAAACTGATATTCATCGAAAACCACGTGTGGTCGTGCGTTAGTAATCTTACATAATATATTATAGTGTAACTAACGACTCTACTTTGCGTTTGCCGCCCTGAGAGCATTGACCCCCGAGTAGGAGACCTTAAGTACGGACAGGAACAGTGGCAGGTTTGCTATGAACACCTTGCCGACAGTCAACTGTAACGGTGTTTGCGTCCTGGACATGACCATCATCAGCGCCCGGCGGAATCGGACAGGCTGTGCGTACCACGCCGCCGAGTACGAAGATCTCAGCAGGCCCATGTGCGTGTCCTCGACCATGCTGCCATACATGCAGAATATGAACAGCTCGGCCAAATAGTTGGATAGAGTCAGCAGACCTTTGACCATGACGAACCGGTTGCCCACGAATATCATGTTGAATGCTGACAGACAGAAGTAGAGCGTGCTGAACATGAGCTCCAGCAGTATAATGTACCCGTAACTCTCGTTCAGTTGGTCCTTGAAGTGAATCAGCCTGTTGTGAAGCATCACGCAGTTCTTCACGTGCTCCAACAACTTCTGCTCGGTGGTCTTGTCGACAGATTGGTCGTACTCGACGATCTCGACCGCGTGCTCGACGTAGGCGGATAGTATCTGGAACTCGGATATCATTTGATTGACGAAGAACGAAAACGAACACATGATGCCGGTTATGATGAACTTTACGGTCACGACGATCAAGAACTGTATCACATACGAAAACGCATACATCTTGACCTGCAAAAATTCATAATAAAAATGAAAGGTGCTAGAAAAATAGATTATACTTTTATGGCAGGTATATATTATGGAAATATTATAGCACCTACATAACTCTGTCGTATAATAATATTTTAGTCTGAGAATTTTTTTTTTAAATTGTTCATGTACCCTCTGCAACATATGCCATTGTACTTAAAGCTAAATCATTGATTAAATATTAATTRTGTAGTTACTAAATCTAAGTTTTGATCATATTTTTGTTTAGATTTTGGCGGCTGTAATGAATGGGATGTTATGATTACTAAATATTTCTGGTAATGTTTCGGGAAGGTTGTTTCTTGTTCGAATATTGTGGTTTTTCAGTATTCGGTGAGGATATGGCTGGTGGTGACTTGGACACCACATGATGGGCACATTTGAAGTTCTTCCTTGGCCATTAGGAAGCTGTGAGAAATTTGAGTGTGGCCGATTCTGAATCTAGTTATTGGGACCTTAGTCTGAGAATTATTATACTGGTAGAGTGGTAGGTATTAATTTTGAGTAATCATTAAACTATTGGAAAAAAAATGATATTATAGGGACTCTTTGTTTTGAAATATTGTTATATATTATGTACGATTAAATAAATGCTAAAAATATATACTTTAAATGATATAATTTGTATTTTTTTAACATCTCAAAAGCAATAAACTTATATCATATTTTAAGTAGGTACAGTCATACATTATGAAAAACTGTAAGATCATTTGTGAGGGTCTTGAACCATTGTTTTTCTAAGAATAATAATATATAAGTTTAAAAGATGAATTTAAATAGAAATAATCCAATCGGCAATTACATCAAAATTTGATTCTCATATATGCTCATAATTACTGTTACCGTAAACTATTTTTTTTAATAATTGCTGTATTATAAATGTATAATTTATAATTTATAATATTATTAAATTTATATGTATTCTATTAAATGTATTTAAAATGACAAATTATTATTGTATAAAATTCGATAACTTTAATACATAAACATAATAAATAAGGGAAATGTTTTCGGAACAATATATCTACCTCTAATTAAATATGTAGCTAAATATATTTTTAAACATTACTATATATGTACATGGCATACACTCATAGATCATACAATTTCGACTTCAGATGCTATTTAAACTGATTAGGTATCGAGCATAGAAAAACATAAGTAATTAGTTGATGAAATAAAATGTCAGTATATTACCTTTGGGAATCTTGATACAAATAGCTACAAATGTATTATTTTTATCTATAGATACCAATATAGTTGGTTTATCTTATTTAACTTATTTGTGTTACATAGGTATTTTATATTAATAAATATGTATCGTTCATACCATAATAAAATTAATTGAGCTATGTCATGATTTATACGAAATAGTAAACATTTATTATTAATACTGCCTATGTAAACAACATAAATTTTTTTTATTGTATAGATTCACCTGACTTGTGTCAGCCGGGAACCACAGGACCACCATCTGCGTGCTCTGTGAACCCAACTTGACTTGAGTTAGACCTGCGGCTGCCAGCGGCACCATCGCAGTGGCCGGTATCTCGAACAAGACCAATGTGAGATAAGAAACGATTACCTTCATCGTAAAGTCACTGTAGGATGTGCGTATTGCCGCTATCTTGCGCTTGAGTGCATCAGGCATGGGCCTATTGTAGCTGGGGAACTCGTCGATGACCATCAGCAGCATGGTCCGGTTGAAACGTTTTGTCCTGATGGCGAACGTTATGATCGCCAACATGAACACACATATAACGAAGTACGTGAACGATTCGAGCGCTTTTTTGTTGTCAGCGATCAACACCGAAGTCATGGTCATCCCCGAAGTGATCATGATCGTTGAAAACTGAATAGTTCTGAGCACTGTTTCGGTTCTGGACAGACGGTCCGAGGACGAGTCGAAAAACACGCTCCATCTGATGCAAAACTTTTGGAACGGCGTCAAAACGAAACTTTCAGGCTTTTGCATCACGTCTATTGTGCCAACAAACGGCTGACTTGATGACATACAATAAATAATATGATAACCTATATAAGTATATAATATCCGTATGGTCGAGTACCAGATACATATTACTATATTATACATAGTAATGTATGGTATAAACAATTTACATATTATTGAAAATGTTTTCTGCTGAATTCACTGTATCGTATATATATATATCAGAGTAGGGCGTTATTCGAATAAAATATTATTTAGATGATTATTTAAATAACATTTTATTCGGATGATTTTTTCACAATTATTCGAATAAATTTTTATTCCAATAATTTTCAAACATAATTATTCGAATAAAAATGTATTCGAATAATTTGAAAACAATATTATTCGAATGAAAATTTATTTGAGTAAGAAATTATCTGAATAATTTTCAAATATAAATATTTTAGTAAAAATTATTCGAATAATTTTCGTTCATTTTGTTTGGGTAAACATAGATTGTTTGAGCTAATTTAAGATAGGCATTTATTATTATAAACAATAGTTGGCATTCTATTTTGAGTTACATAATTGTAAATTTTATTTTATTCGGAAAAACAAATTAAGTTATTCTACCTAACACCAAAAAATCTGAGACTATAGTACTGAAACTAGATAAAATAATAACGTTTTCAATATTGATAAATAATTACTATTAAGGTATATATTAAATACATGTGTAGTACTAGTATAAGAGTATAACTATTAACTATGTTTGAAAATTATTCAAATACATATTAATTCGAATAATTATCTAGATAAAATTTTGCCCAACTCTGATATATATACATATAACTTATACTAATGCGGTACAATAATTATAATATTATTATATAATTGCATATAATATTATATTAAAAATACTTTTGCAATATATTTAAAATAGTTAACATTACAATTTAAAAATATGTTCAATACTTACTTKGTCCGTGACAGTTCACCAAGAGCAGAATATGTTGAAAAAAGTCTTTTATTGGTTTCAAATATATTTTTTTAATTGAGTTGAGACATAGTATCAAATATCAACAGACATTCCCCAGAAGATTTAACATATATACTAGTATATTCAAATCGATCATCAGTTTAATATTTATACTTAGTTTTGATTGTCCCTTAAACTGTAAAAATTTAAGAATTTCAAACCTAAATTAATTTAGTATAATATTATTCTTTAAAATTTAAAAGTGAGATGTAGTTACAAAAACACGTATATATCAACACTGCTTTTATTTCCTTTTTTTTTTATAAAATACTATGTTATGGAATTAATCGAAGAATCTTAGTCATTCCAATAAATAATAATAAAAATATTTTATATTATTTACTATTTTGAAACACAATAGAGTATACTTACTTTACAAGTATGATGATAATACCCACCTTTTACGAACCACACTGCCGACGAAACGATTGCAGACCTAGTTATTCGACCATTTACTTGTAATTTTTGAACATTTATTGAATTCCGTGACCATATGAGTTATGTATCATATTTTCTGTTTGTAATAATATAAAATAATCAATGTAATATTATAGTGAATATAATAGTCATTAATAAATATTCTTCGCGTGGATATTATAATATTATACACCCACGAATATTATTTGTCTTAGTTGTTTGTCTTTGAACATTTGTATTGTAACACGCGAATATCTTGTAAATTATTCCGTAGAAAAGAGTTTGGGTCAAATATTTGGTGCGTCTGAACTCAAGCTGTATTCTTACACTTAATGTAAATAATAAGACTCAAATAAACATATGACACTATATGCGTCAATGCCTCAAGGACATAATATTATATGTTAATTATTAATTTAAACGTATACAATTATCGAAAAATTTTTTCACCAACTGCGAAATGTTTACTTTCCATATTTTATACGCCTATAAACAAAAAAAATTAATAATCACATGAGTTTGTACAATGTAAGCATTAAATTTCGTCTCAAATGATTCAAATTGTTTTTGTTAACGATATTATTACGTTTTATTAACGTTATTAGTTACTACATAAATGTAAATCTATATATTATATATGGATTTCTGTCTGTCTGTTTGTTTGTCCTTTATGCATTCGCTAACGGCTGGACCAATTACAACGAAATTTGGTACCGAAATATATTAGACCTATGGGCAGAAGATAGGCTAAGTTAAAAAGTGATAAACCTAACCCTGGGAGGTGCTTAAACAAACATTTTGAGATTTACGATGGAAATTTTTGTTAATTTATAAATGATTGCTATTAGTGATGGTTGCTTATTATTATTATAACATATATCCCTGAATTATTGTTAACTGTGCATTTAATAATCCGTAAAAATTTCTTATGACTCTCCAAAAAAGATCGATTGGTAGTTGTACGCCTCAAAACCATTMAATCGAATACTTGAATTGACAAACATTTCTCGATAAAACGAATAAAATTACATAATGATAAATTAAATTAAATATCGTTCTAAAATTATTACTTAGTATATTCTAACTATTATCTATCTATATGTATAAAAACATACTGCTAACATAATCACAGGTAATGAATTTAATACACAGTTTGAGACATATAAGAGATAGAAATTTTAACGGGCTACGAAGTACACGGGTTCAGCTAATAAATAAATACAACTAAAATATGGCATACCAATCATTTTTGTGAATTTATTTTCCACAATTTTCAAGCTAAATACTAAATCTTTAATTTTACAATCAAATAAACTTAAGATAAAAACATTTAATGGTATTTAGCAAACAAACAACACACACATTATATAATATATATATATATCTTATTAGTTATTAGTATCTACATAACTATATAACCTACATATTTTTATAATAGTTGTATCTACTAGATAATAACTACTGATCAATATGTGGATGGGAGTCTACATGAAGTACATCATCGTTGTACTAAACGCATTATTGTAATACTAACTGTTTTAAATATTGTAATTCATTTTAGATTTTAATGTTTACTTATATTATATTAATTTCCACTGTGTTTAACAATAAAATAAATTGAAATTTACATTCATCGTGTATACAACGGTTTTAATTGTATTATGATCATTAATCATAAAAAATAACTACAATGTTATTTAAATTTGAACCATCTCATGGAGATAAAATATAAATTACTTATTTAACGTGTTATATTTGTTTATAAAACATTCACGAAAAAATAATAACAAAAGAATCATTTTTTCAACTTCAATGGCTTTGTAACACAATATTCAAACACAAAAATCCATATTTTGTTAAGAACATTAAACCTGCCTATTACTCGTATTATAATTAGTTTAAAAAAGTATATATATTTATAGGAGACTTAAAAAGTAGTATAACCTTTATTAATACCAATTATATTATGAGAAAAATGTATAAATTATGTGTTTAATTAATAGGTATTGTGTTTCTATAAACTCAAAATTTAAAGTTAGAAATAATATCGTATAATATAATGCATAATAACTGTAAACATTATATAGATACGACCAGATATTCACACAGTTTATTTTTCTAGTGACTTTTTGATGGAAAAATATGATATCCATGATCAAAATGCATTGATTCGTAATTAGTTCACAAATTGTACTGGATTATCGTGTACATGTGTATAAATAAAAACTGGATTTTTGAAAAGAATAATTATAACTCGTGAATCTTGTCACTATTTCGCCTTTAAGTATTCTTATCGTTAATATCGTTGTCGTTGCACAACGTCGTGGTAACTGTGACGTTTTCGTTTACCAAAATGTCATCGTTTGTGTTACCGTTCTGAGTAGATTTGAACAATGCCGCTTTGTTTCCAATAGTAGATTTTCGATTAGCTTTTGATCGCATGGTTAATTTATGCCACGTGACCACTCTTACTGAGGCTACAGATTCTCCCACACCCTGTAAACGTAAAAAATTCATACAAATGTTTAATATTTGTTTTGAATATTTTGTTTGTTTTATATTTTAAAGCTATTATATGTAATTTGTGTTTTTAAATCATAATCAAAAATAGGTAATAAATAATAATTTTTTTGGAGTTCGTCATAGTAAATATTATAATATCATTATTATTTATTACTAAGGAAATGGAATATGGATTTATGGTAAAGCGCATGATATTTTAGCTGTAAAATGTAAGTTAGTTAATACTTAAGACCTAAGATATCCGCATAATTATGACTACTTAACCCAAAGTATAATATACATATAATATATATTATATATATATATATATATATATATATATAAATTAAATAAATCATATTATTATTATAAAAGACCATTATTAAAATATATCAAAAAGATTAAAAATTAATAGTTCTGGTTTATTTATAGGTGTTTATAAATTATAAAACCATTGATATTATATGTTCATAATATGACTATTGGTATCGAATATCATATCGAACCTTATCGATTATTATTGAATATTACGTAGACATTACATATAAATTGAATTATATCTTTTTTACAATATTCAGAAATATTAGGCACCTATAATAACAATATAATATATATTTAACCTAATCAATTGTAAGCTAATAACCATGATGTTGATTCTGTACCAATAAAAAAAAAATATATATATAATATATAACTTATTGGCTATTACAGCCCTTACATATACGTAGGTCTTATATACGTCACTTATCCACTGAATTCAATATATCTATGTAATCACCAATTTTTATTCTTATTTTATTCCTTGTATTAATTATACTACCTACTTATATTGAATTATTTAAAATGCGTTAATTGTCAAATATTATTTAACTTTTATTGTTATTGTATATTGTAAATTATACATTGTCCGTATAAATATTATTAATATTTTAAATAAACAAAAAAAATAATTAGTATAACTAACTAATATAATTTGTTTTGGATATACTTTTAATTTTTACATTTTCTATTTTTATAGATATGTTTAATATAATATATTTACATTTAACTATTTTGTATTCGTTGTTGACGTATT